CCCCCCCCCCCCCCCCCCCCAATCCTCAAACATGACGCCCTTCGAACCACCATCGTCCCCACAACCGCGACGAGAAGAACTCCCTCCTCAACGTCCCCTCTAGGATGCGTGGTCAATGGTCTAACTACTAAGGCGTGAAAGGCATCAGTATGCTCCCCCCGTGCGCACACACACGCTCCGCACCTGAGATGCCTGGAAATTTTGGCCATGAACTCCGTTCCGGGGGTAATGCAATTACTATCGAAGACAGCCGTATCGTCCACGACCTCTCCCTGGTCATAGAGACAGAGAAAAAGAGACAGAGAGAGATAAGCGAGAGATAAGCGAGAGAGTGAGAGAATGAAAGACAGATCGGGCGAGAAAGAGCAGGAAAGAGAATGAGAGTCAGAAAGACCGATAGAGAGATGGGGGGAACAGAAGCAAAGGCAGGGAGATTGAGAGATGGACAGAGATCGACGGACAGAGAGGGATGTAGAGAGGCAGGGAGGAAGGGAGGGAGACAAGAAGAGCGATGGGCACGAAGGCATATTTTCTAACAAAAGACACGCGTTCACAACGCTTATATCGAAACAAGGGACAACGGCGTGCGTGGTGTGCAACAGCAAAATTTCCCGCCGGTCTCGGCGCAGCCATCGTTTGGTGTACGAACTGGTGATGCTGGCGTTGTCTGAATGCCTCTCCGACAAAAGACAGGCAGGCATTCACACACGAACTACCGTAAATGACATAAGATAACACACCCCCTGGACCGATTTTTCAAATATCGATTTCTCAACAACAGCAAGAGCCACCGCGCCGAAAACGGCGGCGTTGGAACCGTCTCGTCGAGAGCTTTCCATTTCGTTCATGCATCCTTTTCGTCGTGGAGCAATCAAGCTTTGAAAATTGGTCCAGGGGGTGTGTTATCTTGTGTCATAAACGATAATCGCTTCATTCTCCGTGCGAAACCACGGATAAAGACATTTTTGATCCACTTCTCTTCCGTGTGAAAAAAAAGGGGGGAAGGGGGCACCGCAGCACGAAACTCTGGGCGAGCCGAAACAAGCTCCCTCCCCCCCCCTTCCCCCGTCAGACAGTAGATATACTAGGACTAGGAAATGGGCTTTGAATAGCTGGGAGAAGACGGGCGCTGTCCTCGGGCACAAGAAGTGGGCGGAAAAGGCCGGAAGTGATACCGACAGGATAGACAAGCTACACAGGGAAAACATTATTGAGCCACCTATGGCAAAGCACGAAGGAACGATTGGCCATCAGCGATCGGTCCTGCGGGAACAATTCTCGAGGACGCGTGGTCTACCCGCTAAGGCATGCAAAACATGAGAGTACGCCCCCCCGTCTAAAGGAAATACCTCCCCGCCCGCACTACATGGGTCGCCGCTTGCACAAACCTTTGACTCCGCGATGAGCTTGGCCTCCTGCATGTCCTTCCTGGCGCGGAAGCGGCGCGACCGCTGCTGGTTCATCTTTGCTCGAGGGGCGACGCCGTCGATGGCCATGTACAGCACCCTCCTCGGGCGGACGATGTGCGTCACGATGCGGTCAATGTAGTGGAAGATTCCCAGAATGATGTCTCGCTCGCTCAGCTGTGTTTCGTTGTAAACGCACGGGCGTGGAAAGTGCATCGAGAACGCGACAAATCCGAGCAACGCGCTCAGTGCGTGGAGTGTTGTTCTCTCTTGGCATTGGGTAAGAACAGAGGGCATCGAGAGGGCGAGAGAGACGTGTGTGTGTGTTTGTGGGTGTGTGATCTATTCTGGCCCCGGGTTACAGGCCTTTCGGCGTATTTACCTGACGTATCAGCCGGGGTCACCCAAGGGAAGGCTCACACAGGACCTTTTACTGTTTTTTTTGTTTTGTTTTATTGACCCACCTTCCCCCTACGGTGCTTGCCCAAGTATTTACCGCGTAGGTAAAATAAACGCGCTCCACATTACAGCATCATTTCGCCAGGAATACGGTAGACTCATTCGCTTCATGGTACGTTGCTGTTGCAAGCCCCCCCGCCGTTCCGTCTGAAAACGACAAAATGCTTACAACCCTCTTGGGAACAAAAAAAGTAAAATTCAGAGATACACGTTGCCACAAGATGGAATTCCAAGACGAAATATTTGCCAGTATATACTCCGGAGTGCATATATATCAATATTTTTGTCGATTTTGTTTTCGAGGAAACACTGAAACTACCACGACTTTCTATGAAAACGAGCACAATCCACCCTGACCCAACTGCCACGAAAACCATCCGTAATCAACGTCTAAATTAACTGCTACAACAGGCAGTCAGTGAGTACCCCCCCCTACCAAAAAGAGAAACAAACCCGTCCCACAAATCAAACGTGAGCCCCCAAATCAGACCCACAGGTGCCTGCCAAAAATTAAATTCAATCGAAGAACGAAGTAAGGCGTGTACGTGGATATTCCATTAAGTTTTATGCATATGATACCCGGTACTTCTTGAGCATGTTTTTGAATTTTTGGTTTTGGGGAGGATATCTCAAAAGCCACAAGATAATGCGCTAGTTCACAAATCAAACCAGACCCACCTGAGCACTGAGCCCGTCATCATTGGGATGCGTGCACGTGTGCAGGATCCCGTTCATGTCTAGGTAAAGGTTGTCGAACTCCGGAAGGAGGGTAGAGTCCGAAACGATCTGGTTGATCTTCGGGTAGCGCTCGGATATCCATCTGTAAAACTTTGGGACTCCCATGTCGCTGGCGTTCTTTCCCTTCTCTCTTCGAGCGGTGGTGGTGGTATAGCCTGCTTGCCGCTTTTGTTGTTGTTCGCGGCTGCTGCTGCTGCTGCTGCTGAAGGTCTCACTGCTGCTGCTGTTCTCGTTGTTGCTGCTGCTGCTGCCTCTTGTCGCACTGCTGCGGCTGCTGCTGGGCCCGCTGCTGCAAGCCTCGCCGCGTCCGACCTGTCGCGAGTCTGCTCACAGAGAAGCACGGCACGCATACAACGTGTGTGAGGCAGGGTGGCCGTCTCGGCGCCTCTGGTAGTGCTGTACACACGTGTCACTCTCGACTCCGTTTGTCCAATCCACTTGCAGATAACGCACGCACTTAATAAGCTCTACTTGTGGACGAGGTTGGCGTTCTTAGTCCTCTTGAGGGCAGCAAATGGCCGCGGCATAGGTTCAGTCTACTGGTGTTTACCCGGGCTCACAAAATGGTGCTTAAGTTCTTTTGGTTTGAAAGAATCATGTTCTTACGTGCGGGGGCTACTTGTACAAGAACAAAATATGGAAGGCAGCATTGCAATGGGATTCATCGGGGACCACCTACGCAGGGCAGGATTTTAGGAGTATCTAGAAAAAGAAAAGGGAGGGGGCACGCAGACCCTATCCCTGACCCCCCTAACCCCAAAGCACGGATTGAATACTTTGTCCCATATGTTTGCTTAATCAATTTGCTGCGTGGACTGCTGCTCATCGGTGTGAATCTCGGGTCGGAGCTCCTCTCTGCCAGAGTAGACAAGGTTATGTAGTGGAATAGGAAGACCGCGAGCGACGTTGGCAGTTGGGTTGTACAACCCTTGCCTTCGCTACATTTCATTCTACACATAGTGCAAATTCAGAATGTAGATCAAGCACGCACATTTACGATCCATTGCGGGGCTTTATTGACGCTCGAACGACGCAACAAGGAGATTACAGCAGCAAGCATGATTGCTCGTTGATGTATTGCGAACAAGCGGAGTACGCTCACAGCCTCGGATTTGGCGTAAGATACCATACTCCCTCGACCGATTTTCAAAACTCGATTGCGCTGCAGCAACAGAAGCGACTGTGCCGAGAATGGCGGCGTTGGAACCACCTCATCGAGGGTTTCACAACCTTTACCATTTGATTTTTGCATCCTCTTCATCGTGGAGTAATCGAACTTTGGAATCGGTCCAGGCGGTGTGGTGTCTAATGTGATGTCACCTGCGGTATGCTGCTGGGCCGCGGCCGATACAAGCTTCGCAACAACACAAAGCGACCCCGAGCAAAATACACCAACAGTGCCGACCACTCTCCTCCCGTGGGTTAAGTAACACGGCAACAATGTTGGCCTGCCTGCAACAGCAAGCACACTAGAAAGCACAGCAGGAGGAACATCAGCACCGGGCTGATTGGTGCACATGGTCTCAAAGTACGTTTGGCCGCCGCCCCTCTGCCCAAACGGTCAGTAACAGACGAGAGAATTTAATTTTATGCCGCCAGAAGAATAGCTACCAACAGAGTTGAGGGTAAGAGTAAAGCTCAAGCAGTGGTACCAATCCAGCGGAAACTCACCACTCCGTCAGCCCTAGCACCTGGAGAGAGCACCCAGCCAAGCTAGTGTTGGCAAGGAGTCTTAGTCTTGCTTGTGGTGGCGGTATTTCTAGACTCTTTGAAAAGGGGGCACATGGATGGCAGCTGGGCCCCCCTATGTAGCGAAATCTCGCCGCATTCGGCTGCCTCGCGCACATGATCACATGATCGCACGTGGTGATACGTAGATTACGCCAGTGCCACATGTCCATAGCAGTCGAGGATTCCTCCCAGTTCACCAGAAATACTCGTGGTCTAGGAGACGGGCTGTAGAAGATGGATCTATGTAGTGATTGATCTCCACAGGAGGATTACGTGCAGGAGACAACTATGAGGATCTCCCCACCAAGTTCGGGCCTCACAGATATTTGATGCCATCGCCAAGGTCCACCCCCTTACGATTAGAGCATCTAGAGCATCTACAACAGAGCGACAAGGCAAACCACTATGTTGGAAGTTCCAACCCGTCTAGGTCTATCCTCCTTATTACTCCTACTTTTTCGCTCTCACGGAAACTCGGACGGTACTGAAAAGCAACCCCCCATTTGGATGGCGTTGCAAGATTTTCGGACCCAAAATGAAATATGTTCATCGAACGCGACGGGTGTCGTCAGACCACCTGCGGAGGCTTAGCGTGGGAATGTCAAGGTTGTGGTTCCTGGCCGACGGCGTTCGTTTATGCGGTCTCCTTCGCCCGGTGTCGATGTGGACAACGGCCAGCAGGTCGAAATCATTGAGCGGAAAAGACTAAAAGTCTTAAGCCGATAGGTTGGATAGGATCGAGGTTGCTGATTGCAACAGAGGCGCTACATTTACTTGCGTTCGTTTGCGCCAAAGTCTTGTGTGCCCGTACTTTTGAAAAACCCGCGTTGTTTTACATGGTGCTACAGACACTTTCATTCTGCCGGCCTCACATGCAACATGCTTGGTCCTTTTTTTTTGCTTCCTTCTCCCGGGTGCTTGTTAACGCAGCAAAATATTTGCTCTCGTACGTACATCGACGACTCCGCTGGAATTTCTTTGTACATACAGTCAGTCTAAATAGTCTATACGCCTTGCTCCCTTGGAGGTTTCTCGCGCCGTCCCCTTCTCACTGCGTTGTTAGCCTGTGGTGCACACCGCTGCGCACGGCTCGATTTCGCACGCCTCTTTCGCTCTACTTCTTCTCCTTGCAGGTGGACATGCCGGTCACCCCATCCCGGGGTGATACGGCAGTTGGAACCTCGAAGTTTGCGAAATGCTCAGAACTTCCACGCCGTTTATAAGCTCGAAAACTCCTACTAAAGTCCATATAACGACTATTCGTAGCATAGCTCAAGGAATTACAGAAAGAACCACACCCTCGGCGAAAACTAGAGAAATAGAGGTTCTAAAACGCGGGCGCCGACCGCACTTGTTCCGGGATCGGCCCGTGCGACGTGAGATGACCCCGGGCCAGGCATGACGCCGGAGCGAGCCGACGGGCTTGACCCGGGGGGAGAGCGGGCGAAAACTGAGGCTGGTGAGTCTGTGTACGACGGCTGATCTCTACGCTTGCTCCTCTGGCCGTTTGGGTACGGCCGAGAGTTTCTTCGCGCAGCGATCGGCGGCAGCGGAGTCGCCGGTTGTGGGCGCCTGAGTTTCGAGCGTTTTTTTAAACCTGGGAATCCTACGTTAGGCCTATTGCGCCCGGAGCACAAATGTACTTGTATTCATCTTGGCTCAACAGCGCGCCCCTGCCTTCACGACAGCTCCTTCTTCCTCTCAAGGATTACAGAGAGGCCCGACGGTCGTGGCGTCTTGTTGACTCCCTCGGTCATGGCGTCGTTGGCCAAAACCCGCGGCTGACCGCGTCGACATCACATGTACGCAGATGGAATGACCGGGACGTCGATTCGGCCTTACGGCCGCCTCGAAAGGGTAGCAGGCACTCCCTGTCGTCAGCGATGCGGCGGAAAAGCCGCCTCTGGATCAGGCGGGGGGTGACATATTGACGCGCATTTGAACAGGAGGTGTTCCTGCGGGTCTCCTGCTGCCTATAACGGCTGAAAGTGGTTGCACGCACATGCTGAGCAAAGAATAACCCCAGCGGGACCAGGACGTCACCGTCGACCCTCCGTTGCCGCCACCTTCTCCGGCGCTGGTGACCCTTGTCAAAGACATGCAGATGTCCTTTTACTGTTTGCGGTGTTTGTTATGTTTCACGCATATCGACTAGAAATGATACAGTGTTTCGGTTGGGTCAGGCCGAGGGTTTGATTGTGTTGAAATTCGCTGGTGTTGGATTCGGTTCGGTTCCGGTTCCGGCCCGGTTGGAGATTAGGTTTGAGTTGGGTTGGATTGGGTTTGGCCGCAACTGTCCATCGCGCCGCCGTCGCGCTGTAGTTCGTCGCGATCGGTCGCCCTTGTAGGCGAAACAGCACCAGCGTTAGAAGAGCGCCAAAAGGGAGCATCAATCGTCTCCCGAACACGGTAGGGAGATCGCACCCTTTATGAAGGGGGTCTCCACATTACCCCCCCCCGCCCTTTGGAGTCTTGTTGGTTGCCAGGCAAGGAGACCTCTGGGGGTAACCGTATCCCGACCGGCTGGCGGCGAGTCAAGTTCAATTTTCAATATTCTTGACAATCTTCTGTGCGTGATTTCATGGGTTCGCTATGTCCGCCACAACATTCGAAGTTCGGGATTATTGCCACACGCTGTACATTCTGGAAGACCCGTGATGATCATGGACTCACTTGGTAGTGACTCTTGTGGAACAGCAGCGCTTGCTGAGCCTTGCTATCAGGTAGGAAAAACGGGGCAGGGAATCCAGTCCCTCAAGAGGAGCTTCAAAGGTCCTGTTCCCTGGTTTATCCTTCAACCGGGAGTTACTTCTCCCGCACCTTTTATGTTCGGGTATTTACCCGGAATACCGTTAACACGTCTGCACCCAAATCCCGTAGAACTAGCCCGCCCTGGAGGTTCTCACACAAAGGTACTTGAACTCCCAGGACGTGGCAATTAATAGTGTCGGGTCCCAAATTGAGAGGATCGAGGATGTGGAGATCCAAACTACAACACTTCACCCCTCCCGCACTTCTTCCCACTCCATGGGTCGCAAGACCGTCGTCTCACTCATAACGGAGGCACGGAAAGGAACAGACCGGGGCTACCGCAAAAAACAAGAGAGAAATGCAGCAAGATATCAAGACGCAAAAATACCCAAAAGTCGCAACCCAAAAATAGGCAAAGAACAAAAGAACGAACATAAGAAGCACCGTCGTCGGAGCGACAAAAGCCACACTCACTGAACAGGCTATTTCGAACGGGTGGTTTAAGGTTTATTTTCTATGCAAAGAAACTCCTGTATCGACACTACGATAAGAAACGACGCTTCGAATCGGCACTATTTAGCTACCGACTGGCGGACCGGTCGCAATAGCAACGACGGACGTTATCGCGGCGGCCCCTGCCACATGGGCCGCCAGCATTTGCGGCGTGCGGGTATGTCTCGAGAGGAGCGCGACGCTCAACCCCGCCGCCGCCCCGCCGAAGGCGTTGTTGAACCAGTCCTTCTTTCTGCAACGGAGAGAGAGGGCGAACAATACGTTGTCAAGGAAAAAAAACATACCAAGTGATACGCATACGTCTCAACCCCACCCGTGAGTGTTTTTGGCCGTTGATTCTTCCTTTTCCGCGTCCGCGTCAGCTGGAACATTGCGGGCATTACAAGGTACTGAGCGGAGACCGGAACGGTTCGTAATGTGAAGAAAACAACAAAAACAGCAACAGCAGCAGCAGCAGCAGCAGCAGCAACAACAACAACAATAACCTTCGAGCCCGAACAACATAGGTTGGGAAAGTAGTCTATTTTTGGTATTTCTTTAAGTTGAGTCTTGGGGACGCAAAATTGGCGTGTAGATGTACACATGTGACGGTTTCATGTTTAACGAACAGACCGAGACGCGCACTAACGAACGAATAGATGTACTTAGTGGTACGCATAGATCTGTGGATATCTGATGAACGAATGACCTTAACGTATCCAGTCGGCCAGGGGAAGGGAGAATACCAGGAGCATGAGGAAACGGGAAAAATGGCCACCGCACCATGGTCCGGGCGAAACGGAAATGGCCACATTTTATCGGCTCTCTTGAAAAGGTTCAGAATAACAGTAACAAACAATGACAGCGAACGGGGGGTTACCCCTCCGTCCAAAATCACTCGAGCCAATGTGATGGAACAGAGCGTCTCAAAACGTATCGGCAGACACCGGTAGTAGTACGCCACCAAACTCAAGGTTTTGCATTCAGGAAATTAAGGGAAAAATGAAAAAAAGTACGTTACATTTCAGGGGTGTGGCCCCCCGTAAACAAACGCTGTACTAGGAGCGCAAACACAACAAAACTAAAGAGCGCAAGAGAGGATACATGTGGTTGGGTGTCTTTTTCAGGTATTATTGAAGTTTCACTTTTTTGGACGCCATGTACAAGCGGAAATAACAACCAGCAGTCCCTCGTGTGCGTACGTACCCTCTCAAACGCTCGCACCCGCAGGTCCCCGCGTTCACCATGCCGACAAACACACCAAACACACCCGCCGTTGACGCTGCGGCGATCCCGTACCCCGCCGCCCCCCTCCCGAACGCCCGAACGTGCCTGGAAACCCCTCTAGTCTCGAGCCCAGCGGTAGGCTGCGCCTGAAGCCCTGACGGGGGCTTCAAGTCCCCCATCTGGTCGAGCGCAGAGGGGGCGGAGGGATGGACATAATTCAGGTCAGGGGGGTTAGGTATGAAAGGAACGGGGGCGGGGTCGGATTGTGGGCAAAAGTCGGGTCAAAGGGATATTCATGAAAGGAGGGGAGGAAGGGGGGAGGGGGGGCTCCTCATCGAGAAAACGGGGGCCACAGAAGATTCGGGGTGTCACACAGAAGATGTACAATACATGAAACCGTTGCTGCCGAAGCCTCGGGGCGTGTGTACCACTCACCAGGTGGAAGTACTGTATCACGAAACCTCGTGGGGAACCCGCTCGTCCTCAACTCCTCCTCGTTCCTCGGCGGGCAGGGAGGACGTCAAAGACAGGA